GAAGAGCTCAAGGCCTCCGTTAACCTGGAAGGCGAAGATCCTCAAGATGTGTTGCAGTTTGTCAATGTTGTACCTGTTATTGAGCTACCGGAGGAACAGCCCGCATTGGACGAGCCGATGGATGACGTTGCGACAGCCGACGTAAAAGACGAGCCGATGGATGACGTTGCGACAGCCGACGTAAAAGTCGAGCCGAAGGTTGAGGAAACCGACGCGGACGTTGAGATGCCCGATAGCTATACAGGCGCAACCGACGAAGTACCTGGGCCTGATACTGGTATCGCAGGCGTAAATGCCTTGCCGACAGCACCAGAACCTGATCCACAGATGGCGAAGATCGAGGCCGAGGTTCTTGATGTTTTGGCTGATGATGAAACGACTGTTGAAGAAGGTGCAACCGGAGATGTTCCTATGATCCCTACGGACGCGGACCAACCCGCAGAGGGTCAAGCGTCTTCATCTGACCCGAGACCACCATTGCCGCGATTGCGAGGCAAAGGGCAGGGACAAGGCACCCCTTCGGTCGCTCCCGTAACGGGGAGCTTTCTTGCACCTGAGAACAACGACAACCCCGACTTGAAATTTTCTGGAAAAGGGAAGGGCGTTCTCGTTCGCGAGACGAAGCCTAACCCCGAGTACAAAAATATGCAGGTCGAGGTTGAAGAGGTTCTCGGAAGGTATCCTTACCCGGATCACCTACTCAAGGCCATCGGGAATGGCAACATCCAACTCCTCGAGGATGAGCTGGGCCGCGACGCCAAGCAGTACGTGCTGTACCACGTTACTGGCCATAGGTATTATTATGTATATGAGGATTATCATCATGGGCCTTGGGAGTGGTGCTGCTCCTGGCCATATCATGTTCGTCGCGGTATTTCTGGTCTTCTTCGTGGACACGTCCCAGACGTCAGTATTTATGATCCGGCGTGTTATTTGCCAATTTACAAACTACTAGATTTGGCGAAGGCCAAATTCCCTGATTATGCTGATTCTATGAATGTTTTTGAGTTGATTTCGATGGCTATTTATGACAACAAAGATCGTTTCGAATTTCAATGCGTGTACGACTCTCGTGTGAACGAGCAGCTCGAACTTTTCGCCGCCCCCGTCAAGATCCGATGTGGACAAGGCCACACCGACGACGTTCTCGAGACGCGATCAAATGAAGTGCTAGCAGTACTAATCTACTGCCGTCCTGACCATGTACACAGGTACAATGCTCGTTTGACAGCGCACGGGAACCGCGATATACCACCTCGGCTTTACCACCGAACGCATGAAGGTGCTGCGCGATCCATTATTGCGAGCGGGCTCATTCCCGGCGGTGGAGCCGGTGGACCGAAAAGCAAAGGCAATTCCTTCTTTTCAACACAACCTCTGGGAAACCAGAAGGCGATATCTGGTGTTCGTGCTGACCGACCAGTGGAGATTTGTTTTTCAACACCGGATGTGATTGAAGCAGGAGTTGATCTTTTCCTCACAAATTCCGGCGCGGTGATTACCAGCCATCACGTTCCGAATACGTGTATTCTATTTGCAACTCGAGCCCGCGCAAATGCGGAGCCGGAAGTTTTCTATTCGAGGCCGCAGGCATTGGATCCTTCGAACATTGAGGTCGGTGTTCCGCAAGATGATGTGACATTGGTCCCGGGAAAAGTGTCGGAAGTACGCACCATTTTGGAAGGTACAAGCGACGCCACTCCCGAAGAACGCACAGCTAGCAGCAGTGCCGCAAAGAAGGAAGAGATGGAGGCAAATCGCAATACAGCTGTACCACAGATCGAGAGTGGATATTTTCTACATCTTCGAACTTTCAGCTGCGATAAATGTACGACACTTTCCTTAGCAGGAATGGCATCTTGTCATCGATGCGGAGTAGTATTTCAGAGCAATACAACAGATGGACCGATTTCAAAGTTTATGCGACTTCAGATGAGGCGTGCAAAGGTGCTACAAGAGCAGGGGGGCGTGCCCAAGAACATGACCGCAACAAGCATGCTTGACAGCATTGCCGCGCAGGACCTACAGTCTGGACGACCTCCAGCTCGTGGCAGCCCGTCAGTTGACAGTCAGATTATTCTTGCAGCTCGCAGTCGCCTTCGCAAAGCATTGAAATCAGGGTATGAGAATGTATTCGATCGATTCAACCGCGACGACGTCTTCGCCACCTCCTTAACCGGAGAAGGATGCACAGCGTTTGATGCAGCGCAAGAAGACTTGTTTGCGTCACTGCAATTACCGGCACCCACGAGATCAGCGAAGCAGAGATCAAAAGGGAAGTCGGTTGTCAGTGATTTGGATCGACTGGACAGGGTTGACCTCGCCAAGCTCGCGTATATTCGATGCGGTGTTGACAACCTACATACCTGTTTCAAGCAAGGCGTCGACGAGAACTTTCTGATCAGTTATCGCCGAGAGTTTATGTCACTCCGACAATACGCCGCCGTAATTGGCGATAGCCGAGATGAGATCAAGATCCAGGGCTTTATCCCCACGACGGACGTCTATGGCGATATTCATTCAATTCGTATTCCTCGTGGAGACACGACAGGCATTTACAAGATTTTGAGTGAGTTTGCAGAGCAGAATGAAAGTTATGCAAACATTCAATATCAGAGAAACGCGCAACAGTCTGCAAATATGCAGGGACGCGATCGTGGACAGCCAGTTTCACAGATGGGCTTCATGAACATCGAACAGCGCATGGCCACGCCTTATCCCAAGTTTGCCGATTGTGGCCAGGACATGTCATATGACGAAGTCAGAAGGTTGGAAGAACTTTTGTTGGAGTTTGGACAGCGTGGATCCCCATCTCTTCAAGGACCTGTAACAAGGCCCCCGTTGACGCGGAAGCGATCGCAGATGTATATGGAGACTATTGGAGATGCAGACAAACGACCGAGGCTGCAGTGGAGGAGGAAAGAAGACCGAGATCAATCTGGTCGTATTGCAACTTGGGTTGACAACCGGACTCCACCGCCAGGCGTGCCTCAGCCGCCAGCTCCCGTAACAGGGACGCATACCTCGTCGGTATTCAGTATGAATGCACCTCCTGCTCAAGGACAAGTATCAGGCAAAGGAGACTCCCATAAACGGGATGCCAGTGTGCGAGGAGATGTTGCCGGTAAGGGCAAAGGGCAAGGCAGTTCTTCTGCGTCAGGTTCCACTGCTCCCGCAAAAGGGACGCCACGTGGTTCAGTTGCCCGTGCAATATCTCGCAGCCGTGAAGACCTTCCACCTAAGCGTGGCAACATTCCCAAGGACCTTTTGGGTCCTCCACTTCGCACTCCACCATCCACTCCTGCAAAACCGTCAATCCCAAAGCCTCCTTCCAATCCACCGTCAGTACCGGTGAAAGAGGCCCCAGCATCACCACCTCCACCACCTGCACCAAATGATGCACCAACGGCCGGCTTATCCCCGGCTTCAAAACCACGTCCAGCAAAACCTTCACCTCCGAAGGTCCCACCAACAAAGGTGCCTCCTCCAAAGGTTCCTCCACCGAAAGTGCCACCCAATACAGCCAGTGGCATTCCGGTACATACAAGGCCGACAGATTTCAATCTCACGCCGAAGCCGCCGCCGCTTACAGACCTATACAGTCGGTTGCAACCTTCCGTAAAAGGAAAGGGCAAGGATAAGCAGCAGGTGAGTGTTCGAGGAGGACCTTATGCTCCACAGCAATGGAATGTACAAAACGTGCCACCGCCGCCATTGCCACCCGGAACTTCATCCGCTTCGGCATCATCGTCACATAATGCACCCTTAACTGGGCCGCCGACTTCCAGCATTCGTGGAACTATTGATCGACCATTGGAACCCTTTGATTTTCCTGGAGTACAATGGCAACGCGATGACCCATGGGGCGAGAACTATTGGCCCAATCACATGGAATTGTGGGAGTGGTTGAGGCAGGGATGGCATGACGAGACGGAGCGTTTTGGAATACAATTTCTTTAAGCAGATGTTGAATAGCTGCCATAAATGGTATGCCTTGCAGCTTATGAGTGTTGAGATAAAGATCACCTTCTGACGCGCTGTGAGATGATGTTTCACTTCATTGTCTCACTTCCCAATGCATCCATAACAGGATTGCCATAGTCGGAGAGTGAACTTTTAATCAATGCTTAACACTAACCTGGGCCTAGCATGTTTAACCACATGCCGAGTGAGGCGAAAACTGTACATTAGGGTAGCTACGTTCTCCTTGTATAGTGCATGCACGAGCTTGATGAGGGATTTCTAATATGATTCCTTCGTCGCTAGAATTTGATCCTCCCCGAGATTTTCCCTACGGGTAGCTCCTTGTAAAGGGGGGTGTTGAAATTAACCTCATCCCCATGGACCCCGTAGCGTTGACTCTCAAGGTAGAGCAAAAGGTAGCGCTTACCGGACTAGCAGGGTTAGCTAGGTAGTTAGTACTATTAGTGCTGATCCTGTAAAATACAGTTTGGCCTGTGCCTTTCTTTTGCGGGACAGATGAGGTTGATGCCGATGAGACTGATGATCACTGATGAGCTGATGTTTGACAAGTTTCAATTCGTGTTTGAGATTTGACGACAAACCATTGTTTTTCTATGTAGTACGATGTTTTTTAGGCGTTTGGCACACCTCCCACTATAAACGAAGAACCCTAGCAGCTATACCAGGGAGGTGTACCCCCTATTGAAGGAAAAACTGCGGTCATCAAGTTCACCCTGAGGTCATTACACCCCGCTGGTGGCGTGGTGTTCGCAGGAGAACTCTTCCATCGAACCACTCGAACAGGTGGGGTCTGGGAACGAACTTGTTTCGGGGACAGCAAAGACCTCCTGGTTGCTTTTTTGGTCGGTGGTTCAACATACCTTTATTTAGGTCTGTGAACCACATAAGGAAGTTCCAGGTATACATAATATTACTTTGTCCATTTTTGTCACTTCAGTTGCGAGAACCGATCAACTCAAAACTTCCAAGGTTTTGCTTGCTTGTATTGCTACATGTGGATCCCCTGAACGGATCAGGCCTGGCCCAAGATGAAGCAACGCTTTGCGGAGATCTTCCAAAGTAAAACCCGCGATGAGTGGGTCCGGGCCCCCGATGGGGCCCGTATGGGCCCGTGGGGCCCGTGTGGGCGCTGTCCAAAGCCCTCTGAGATTCGTGGAGATGTGTAAGAAAGTCTGAGATGTGGAGAGGCTGTTCGGACACATCTCGCCATTCTCCAAGACCACGGCCCGCTGGCTCAGCCCACTGGTGCATGATTTCACGATATACATTTCTCCACAGGGAGAACACACCTCGTCTGAAGTTGGAGTTCTGAGCGTTCCTCGACTGGGCCCGGCCCGAACATGTCGCTGGGTTGGGCAGTAGATGGCTATGTAAATAGTATGGTCATGTACGGTCTATAATGATTCAATGGTCTCCTACAAGAAAGTATGGAAACATGCGGACACCTTGTTTTGTGTTGCCCATCCCCAGCCAAAAAGGCATCCAAAGGGTCCCCAGAGAGCTGAGGCGAAGATCTTCGCCAACACCGACGCCTGTTGTGTGCCCGTGCTGAATCCCTTGGAAGCGGTCGGTGAGACCCAGAGCCGGCAGAGGGTCGTGCCGAAAATGTCACCAACCAGCCGATTGAGTTATGTAGTGATGGAAATAGGTCTTTTCCAACACCCTATGCAGCTTCAACCAGGAAGTTGTATTTCAAGCAACTTCCTGAATTCTTTTGTTGGAGATATGCATGCCATTGTTATTTGTGATATTTATGCATGTGTTTTCATCACACAAATTTGTTTAAAGAACTAAAGAGGTTCTTTGCCCAAGCAGGACTTTGGCTTGCAAGGACATAGTGCAGCACAATGAAATTCCTGGTTTGCTTGGTTTTCGAGTGCATCACACAGGCTGGTTGAGAAGCTTCTTCGTTAGCCCCCAAATGGAGAAAGTGCATGGACGCCTGGCTTAACAATGGCTTACATGGAATTCCAGTTTCACCCCCTTCTCCTGGTCATTCCCCGGGGCTGGAGACCGGCGGTGACCGGCGGTCAGCAGAAGCTCCGGATGTCATTTCTTTAGTTTTGACCTCTCCTCGTTAGCTGGTAGGGCTTTTGTCAGCGTTTGGTCTTTTGTCAGCGTTTGTTCTATTCCCCCGGAATGAACATGCTCATTTACTTCCTCTGACAGCGGCCTCGGCTTGTCCCACTTCTCCTTTGATTCCAGGGAGTGTATTTCAGTGAACTTCATAGTTCCTGGATCCAGCCATCCAGCCTCACTAAATCTGACTCAGACCAGTCTCACCCACATTCACGAAGACACCAACATTCACGAAGAAAAGGAAGACCTTATCCACCAAAGGTTTGAGGGATTTTGTCCCACACAGCCATGCCCCTGCTGTGCTTGATTGAAGATGGTCAATACATTCAAAGGCGGCTCATCCTCACAACCAGATGCGGCGAAGCTGGCAACTCAGACATGTTGTTGTTTTTTTTCTTCGGAGGGTACAGAGCTGCAACAATAACCATAGCATCAACATGCATCAACTACATTGCAGATTCATGCATCCTACTGTCAGTTTGTGACCAGTCACGAGATGCTGCAACTTGAATCTATTGCGTTTGAATGGGAACGTGATGTAAAATGTAAGAAACCAATAGCATCCAATAGCAACATGGTCAAATTTCAGTAGTTGTCTATATTATTTACTCCAGCATGGCCACAGTTTGCAGCTGCTGAACTTGCCATGCTATCTACTGGCGACAGAGGATGTTGTGTAGGTATTATTCCAGCAAACTAGACTAGCAGGCCTGAGCCTTGAGGGTTGTTGCTTATTTGCACCATTTCTGGACACTTTCCATGTTTGCGCAGCGCCCGAGGTTTTGAACCAACCCCAGGTCCTGGGCTGAGGCGGCCTGAGGTCGAAGAGTGATCTTCACTTGGACCCCAGCAAAGTCTGTCAGTCTGTGGGAGATCTTGTTACGTGAATCACTTATTCAAAGCTTGACATGTGTTCACTATATTTCACTTGACTCACTTGACTATATAATTAGCAGATCTTGGAAGCACCCAGTAGTGTTCTCACCTGAACCTCAATCCAAGATGAACCATGATGAACCTCAGGCTTTTTGGGCAGTATACTCAGGTGCTTCTGGGCTTTATGAACCGGCTCCTGCGCCAAAGTTGCAGCGGACGCCTGGACTCTCGCCTGGAGGCCCAGAGTCAGCGGGGGGACCTCGCCGGGGACCTCGCCCGACCGCCGGAGTCACGGCGACCGCTGCTTTGATGTTCAGAAAGAAACCTCAGAATCCTCGGAAGGTATGTGATGTCCAAAAAGGGCTTGACAGAAAGGCTTTGGAAAGAATGGCGTCGTTGCACTCATGAGACTCTTACCTTGCACCCACCACTGAACGAAATGGAATGCAATGGAGGGCTTGTCACCAAATGTGACGTGTGGAGCTCAGCATGGAGCACTTTTGATGCAAAACGATGGAGGTTGGGTGTTTTGACATGCTGAACATGACCCGACAATGCCCGACATATCGAAGGAATATTATCGAAGGTATCATCTAGATATGTGTGTGTTTTTTTGATGATAGATTTTGGGCGCAAAGTGAGTCGGTTGTGGATACATCCTACACAGGATCCTCTCAATTGGTTGTTCTCAGTTCAGCGTTGGAGGGTGGTGGCCTGGACATCTGCCATTCAGAAGTTCAACACTCAGGTTCCAACATGATAAACATTAAACAAACGGAGTCTAAAAAATTGCAAATCCATCAATACTAGTCATCAAGAATTTATATTGGATTTTGTTGATGCCACAAAGTTATTGATGATGGACAGATGATCATCAATTTTGGACTGTTCACTCTACTTTGATTCATTTCCTCCAAACATTAATGCTGGTGGGTTCCTGATTTCTTGATGCATTGGTTGGGATGATCATAATATCTACTAAGACCCGAGGATGGGTCCCAAACCAAACAGCTTGGAGACCCTGAAGTCTCCCACGTGGTTTCGGACCGGACCACCGAAAGGCCGCGGCCGAGCCCTGTGCCCGGGGGCGACACGAGGACCGTGCGCAGCTGAGAGGGGGCGGTGGTGGAGTTTGTTTGAGGAGGTGTGGGAGGCGGTGCATCAGAATAGGGGAGACCCACTCATTGAACCACACGCTTTGTGGTCTTCATATGTTGGTTCACCTTTTTTTTTGGGGGGGGGTATACCCAGACTCCGGACTGGTAAAAAGATGTGGGTTCGCTCGAAAAGACACAAGTCCCGAGACTGTTTGCCAGTGTACTCCGGAAGGTGCTTTGTCAACTGATCTGGGCGACATGCCCCGGATGAGCATGGGACAACATCTACTATGCAGCAACTCCATGCATGCAGCAATTGATCAGGGCCGACCCAACCATTGATTTGGTCAGTTCAGATACACCGCCACGGAAGTCCCCACTAGGCTGAGTCGCTGAGGATCTGCAATCCTTTGAGGGGGGTTCCTCCTCATGAGTCTCCCTAGGTTCTTTGCGAGTATGGCTTCTCTGGCGAAGAGGACGGGATCTCAGTGATTGGCCAGCAATGACTAGCCCTTCTATTTTGCTGGCAGGCCACCACTTCCGTCGCTCTGAACGGTTGAGAGACTGCCCACTTCACCTACAGAAGACAACTTTTTCCCAACTCATCTCATGCCTCCGCCTAGATCCGTTCCACCGTCGGACTGGGATCCGTCCACCGTTGGACGCTTCGTCGACGTTTCAGGTGGCCAATCTGCTGAAGGAGGGTGTGCTGGGTGAGAGCAAGTCCAAGCTGTGAGCCCGTGGACGCGAGCAAGTGCAGGTGTTCAGCATGCTCCTGGAACTCATGCAGCAATCGCTGTGATTTCATGATTCATTGGAATAAATGATTTGAATGCAAAGCAACAGAATTGTTTGCCTGAGCATATAGTCTCCCAGAACTGCTTGCATCTATAGGCATCGTAGCTTCAACTTGAACTTGCTTGGCTAATGGCCTCTGCCACAAGTGCAGCCTACTTATCTCAGCCAAAGCTGCATCAAGCTGCTGAGGTTTTAAAAGCCGGGCACCAGGGACGACGTTTGGTCGTGGTGTCATCCAAAAGGAGCCGTGGAGTTGCATGGGATCCTGGAGCAACGGAGCTGAGTTTGTCTCCAATTGCCTTCAGAATAGCTTGAATATGCTTGAAATGTGTTTTTCTGGATGGGTCTCCGAATGTATCTGTTTTTTTTTGCTGGGCTTTCCAAAGAAGCCCAAAATTTGTCTCCGATTTCAGGGATGGTTCATGCGAACACTCCTGCTTCCTGGATTCCTGGCCCAAAATTTGTATGTGTTTTCTTTTCCATTGCAGTAGGTGGTCCTCTTTAGCTGGCTCAACGTTTCAGCTCAACGTTTTCTGGGCTTTCCGTCCCTAAAGCCTCAAATCCCAGAACCCCCTGTCCACCCCGTTTTCCTTCACCCCACCATCCAACCCCGTGCTGACCACCTCGCAGGTGACCGATGTCCGACGATTTGGCTGCGCCATGTCTGGGAGCGGCAGAGCGAGGGGCAGACGACGCCGCGCGTGCAGCAACGACCCGCCCGGGGAACACAGCGCGGGAACGAGAAAGCCAGGATGATTTGGGTGGCGAGCGTTGGTTTTAACACAGGCATAGGAAATGGATGGAAATGGTCCTTTTCTATTTAGAGGCGTTTGGATCTTATTCTGCAGAGTGCAGAGTCGGTCACTACACATCCCTCCAATACCGTCGGGCCTTCGAGAGATGGACCGTAGATCGGTGAATCGGCTGCGACTCCTGAAAGGAAGGTACTTCAAACATCTGACCCCAGCACGCCATTGGAGTTCATCGTTTTCCTGATCAGCACCCCGGAATACTCGGTTGGCCGGTGCCTGAGAAATCCCGGTGATGGTGATCATGTTCAAAACACAACATCTTGATTCTTCCCCACTTCTCAGAACCCACCACCCACATGTTCCATGGCCACGACTGGTGTTGGTTCCCTTGCTACAAAAACAGGCATCACCATCTGCACAGAAGGAGCTTGATCCCTCGTCCGCCGCCGCTCACAGCGAAGATATAACCGCTCCCCGAGTCTTCGCGGCGAGTAGCGAGCCATGGCGACAGTGCCAGTGAACCCAAAGCCCTTCCTCAACGACCTGACCGGTGTCTTCGGAGAAAACGATGTCAAAGGTATGTCAAGGTGACCAGATTTGAGAAACTGAAAAAGCATTTGGATTGTAACACTTATCAATGATGCGCGTGCTTCAATCTTTGTTGATTTATTAAAAGTCTACAATGCATTATATACACGTGCTGTTCTATAACTTATATAAACTATATACTATAAACTGTGTTTGGGACCTTGTACCCCGCCAATGAGACCCGATCCCTCGATCTGACTCTCAGTTGCTGGGCCTAAGACGACAAGACTACAAGACTCGACTGATGGGACTAGCATGACAAATCAGTTGGGGTGCGGGGTCTAGGGGTCGTTGGTAGGTATTATACGATATACTAATTACATATATATATATATAGATGAACAGTACAACAACATGTCATATAATGCCTATTGGGTTACTATACTATATATGATTAGACACAGATGCATTTGTGTTGTTAATATGAGTTGACTTCCTTCAACATTCCAAGTCATGGAGCACTTGGAACGTCTAACACAATGTCACATAAATTGCATTCCAGACTCTAGACTAGCAACATCCATTGGCTTTTTCTTGGTCAACTCGGTAGAAGTCTTTGAAAGTTGTTCTGTCTCCAAGGCAAGCCATGGTGCTTGCATTTGTTTGATTTATGACCCAATTGTAGGGGTAACCAAACAGTCCAGCTCCTGCTTCTGCTGGGCTGTAGGTCGTCCACCCCCCGAAAAAGGTGGCAGTGACGGATCCAAGACCCACCGCCCGTGGCTGGCCGAGGCAAATTGGTGCTGGTGAAGTTGAAATGGGGATCCTTAGCTGACAAAGAAAAGAAACCATTTCTAGCTACAAACTAGGTCGCTAATGACCCTTTGAGCTCTACAAAGAAAAGAAGCACACATAAATGTAAAATCAATGCGTGTTTGTTTGTTTTTTTTGCAATGGTTTAGCGCCAAAAACGCGGAGACTTATGTGTTGAACAATTGATAAAAGTCGACGGCCTTTCTTGTTCTGTGTTTGCCTTACTGGGCCATCAAAAGGTCAACGTCGAGTCAACGTCAACACCAGTCAAAGGTTGCTACTTTTGAGCGTAAGTGGAGAATGTTGTTGTGATTTGAATAGCTCCAAAGTAGCTCATCTTTGGGATAGCAAACATTAGCAACATTTAGCAACCATGGATTGCCAGGGTTCAACCAGTTCTTGATCAGGAGGCAATGGGTGGGATTGATTGGCAAGGCCTGTAGTTCCTTTGGGTACTTCAAACCAAACAATAATGAAACTTAGCACACCTACCCTCCAAAAGAACAGAAAAAAACAAGAAAAACGACAGCCTGGCAGATTGTTGTACATGTTTGTTTTCTCATAAATGAGTGGGCATTGACCACCCTACTATAGTATTCTCGTTGGAGGCATTGACCACCCTACTACAACGATGGTCTTCACACATGGCTGGTCTTCTCCGTCGTCCGCTCCGCTCGCCCGGTGCCCTGGACTCCGCAGGTATGGAGTACAAGGGCACCCTGAAATCCATTGATCAGTACATGAATCTGCAGCTCTTGAACACGGAGGAGACGGGTGAGTTGTGGTGAACATGGGGTCATGTTCGGATCAGATAAGGAAAGAAGGAGAAAGAGTGAGATTGAGAGGTTCCAAGTTCCGTGGTTTCCAAACTGGCTTTCTGAAAGAGATGAGGGTGGATGAGGGATGACTTGATGGATGACTTGATGGTCCTTGGGTCCACCACGTTCCACTTGGGAACTCCTCAAATCCAGATCCCCTCAGATCCTCGAGTGCCCAGCATCCTTCCTCCCCGAAACTCGATCGCCAAAGATCATGAGATCTCACGAGATCCTGGGGCCTGCTGCGCTGGTCCAGTCCCACTGAAGTGGATGGCATGGCCCCGAGAAAGATCCATTTTCATGTTCATCATCCTCTACAAACCAGGTGGTGCCATCCACTTCCATTTTGAGTGACTCGGAGTGTAGAAAACCAGCTTAGCATGCTTAGCAGGGAATGAGAAACCGGCTGGATCCAGTAAGGAGTGACTCTCGTTCGTGGAAGTTTCCCTCCCCAAAACGTTCGTCGAGGCCGGGCCGCACCAGTCTGGCCGGGCCGTCCAGGAGTGGGTGGACGGAAGCTTCCGTGGAAACCTGGGCGAGGTCTTCATCCGCTGCAACAATGTCCTGCTACTGGGCGCAGCAGTGATGGGCAGGGCAGGGCTGGGCAAAGCCTTTGCGCAGTGACTGGCAGTGATGAATATATAGCGGAGAAAGGGAGCACGTACTGGAGAGTATTGCTATATATTTTCGGGCTGGCCATGGCAGCCATGTCCAATTGAGGTTGAACGACGCACCTCTACCAACGACCAGAGGATTTGTTACGTAGCGGGGACATGGCTCGAAGTGAAACAGAGTTATACAGTATCTACAAAATTCTAGAAATGTTGCCACAAAAACACACTGCAACCATTACTTACATGAGTTGGAGAATGGCATAGAAGCAAATCGCCCAGTCGACGAGGTACATCCGTGGAATGGCAGATGAGGAGTCCGACATGGACTAAACGAGGTCCTCGGGATGCTGGATCCCTGACGGTACTGAAGGCAGGCGATGCCACAGCTACCGATTCTCAGGCACACTGTCAATCCACAATGGTGGAAGACAAGCAAGAAGTGTGGCTTGCTGAAGATGTCTTGAGTCTGCAGCACTCGCAAGTCCCAAATCTAGAACCAAGCACTCGGGTTCCTGAAATATGTTCATGAGATTCCAAAGGATGTTCAACGTGAGTTTTTGGTTATTGACTCTTGTATTATACTATATAATATATTATACTATATACAACGTACCTATGTTGACTTGATGTTCAATCCTAGGATTCCAGAAAAGGGACATGACCCTCAAAGAAGGAGGTACTTGCAATCAGAAGGGATTGGTTGGACCAACACTGAGTGCTACAGACCGTTCGTCGCCAAACGCGCAGTTTTGCCGAGACGAGACACGCATGGAGCGGGGGTGGCTGAACATGGAGCGAGCAAGGTCGACGCTAATTGTGCGGTTTGTGCGGTGAACGGGCTGCCGCGGGCCGCTGTGGTTCGAGTTCCTTAGGATCCAGATAAATACCTGCTGAGAAGATAGTTGAATCATTGAAAGCTCCAAACCCTTATTATATATATTGACATATAACTATTTGATTAATTAGTTTTCCTTCCAATTGTTTATCTATTGCCGAGCCATGTTCTTACTACCTTTATCTATGTTTCCTGCCGATCTAATCTAATACATCCGTCATCCATCCATCCGTCCATCCATCCATCCACTGTTTATCTAACATTATTTTCTCAGAGAACTGACATGAAACTGACTCTACAAGTTAAAAGAAGAGGACCACTTGCCAAGAGAACGGAGAGCACACACATACAGTTTGAACATCCTACCGCAAACGGATCATGTTGACTTTGTGTTTTCTTGGGGTTCAAGCTCAAGCTTACCAACATATCATATAAGTATAATTCAACGTATATATATATATATATGATATATGTATGGCATAGACGGATTGATTCATAATGCAACACATGGGGCAGGACTTTGCAGGCAGGTTTTTCTTCAACGTGAGGAGAATCCTAACCTCCCTGAGTGGAAATATGCGGACATTAAAGGGATACTGGTGTTGGGAAGCACATGGACGAAATCGGGGGATGACGGCAGATGAATCTCAGACCTGTGCGGGCGGAGAAATCAACCATATATAGGACATAGCAGTTTGAATCAACAACGTTTCATCAACGGTAGAGGTCGGTCCGATCCCGAAAGCGTGCGCCTTCGAAAGCCCGAAGCAAACGGGGGCCCGTCTTCCAAGGATCCATGGAGGTCTGTGGATCGCCACCGTGGAGGTCTGTGGAAGGTTTCCCCATGAAACAGGCTGCAATGCGGCTGCAACAGGTGTCAAGTTCACACTCCTTGATGTTCCAGGGATCCATCTTCCGGCATCCGGGACCAGGTCCGACGTGTCGGAAACGGACCAGACTCCGATGACGGCGTGTTCTAGAGTAGCTGTTGGATGGGTTGTTCCATGTTGTTCAATACGTTTTCAGTTTTCAATGTCCCCAAAGACTTTTGATGGCTTTTTTCACGTTTGTTGCAACATATGTTTGATTTTGACTCGTTTTCGTGGCAGATTTTTCAGGCGAACCAGCTACATGTCTGTTTTTTTACAGGTGAACCAGCTCTCAGGCCCCTCATGGCCCCTGATGGAATTGATTGAACCGTGTATAAAACTCATGAAACCTTCTTTGGAAAAGCAACACATATCTTGGAAACCCAAACAACAACATGCAGGCACACCGAAAGATCCAGAAACCCAAGAAATACTGTTTCACACGTGAGAAACAAAAAGACAAAACAGAGTTCAAACCTTGTGTTTTCCTTGCTTTCTGGTTGCCCTGCCTCAATGTAGTCAATGGGGTCATACCGGGGTCCGTGGGCGACTCGTCCTTTTCGTCACGACGCGACCGCCGAGGCTGGGACGTGTCACTACTTCCGCTTTGGGAAATGTGTCAAGGGTGCGGCCTGCCCGCCGGGGATGCTCAGAGGATGGGGCAATCCCCAAACCTCACTGTAATGTGGTTTCAGAGTAGATGGCATTAGATGGCAATCCCCAAAAGTAGGTGGGTTTATATGGACCTCCACATAAAAGCCATGTTTGGGTTTGCGCAATTTATTCTGAAAGCAGTATATACAACTGCATCATCAAGGTGGCTATGGAGACGACTGGCTCCCGGAGCGTTTGGTTCGCTGTTGTGAACATAGTAACTACAAAACTCATGACCGGCATAGAATAGAATCCAAACATGTTTGGGGTGGCTTTGGAGGTGACACTAAGCACTAAGGATGTAGTGCCACGTGTCAGCAATGGGGTTTAATTTGTGACATCATGAAATACTCCAGACCCCGAAGCATATCGAGCCATCGAGGCAAGTGATTGATCAGGTGTCACACTGTCCCTTTGAAGAACGATCATATTTTTTCCTTTGAGGAACGGTCAATCCAATTGCTTGCCGACGTTTGATGCTCTCAATCACATGGGTAGATACAGAAACCACATGGCGTGGCATAGCTTTAATGGGTTTCTAGACCAAGCGGGATGCCTTTTGGCTATTGAAGCAAACAAACATCAAACTTGTAGATACGGATCTGGACATGGGGCCTTGACACATCCCCTGATATATGGATTGACGCTGTCACTCTAGCCTGGCACAGGAAGATCGTCAAAAACAGGCTTAAGGACCACCATTTTGGGCCCTGTTACAACCTGCTCCGACCTGCATGGCCGTTTTATTGTCTCAGCTCCGGTTTTAGGGAATCGCCCCGAGCTTTCGCCTGCGAAGCGACGCGGGTGCACCCAGCACGCCATGTTCAAAAGGCTTGCAGTGCTCATTGGCGTGCAGCGTGCACTCTGTATTCCAACAAACGAGTTGAGAGAGATGGCCAAGCCTTGCGCACCAGGGCAAGAATGCGAGATGGATGGCTACGTGGGTTCCAAAGTGATCTTTGAGGATGACCTCGTGCGAGTCTGGAACTTTACCTTGCCACCGGGTGGTATGACATCCCTTCATCGCCATGATTTGGACTACCATTTTATTGCCATCATACCCACCCAACTCGAGGTCTATGACTGGCAGGGCACGAGGCTCTTCGACTTCCGCGCCGAGGGCACCAAGGGCTTTCGCGTGAAGGGCGACCTATTGGAACCGACCGTCGGGACGTTACCAACGCCGCTGCCGCGACTGCACTCGGCGTTGAATATTGGGCTCAATGACTACTACGAGGTTTTGGTGGAGCACAAGCATCGGCCGAGCGAAAAATCTGAGCTGTAGTGAGAGCGACACGGAGTTTGTTTGGCACAGATCTTGGAACGCAGTGACAAAACTTTTGAAGATTTAGCATTGAGGGTGGCTAATCTGCGCAGTTGGCCACTTGCCATGTAAGCTTAGTTGGCGCTATGCTAGCATGCATCTTTTGCAGCCGACGTGTAATCTGGACCCAAAGCACGGTCCTGGTCGGGTGAACATAGCAGACATAGCACCAAAGACATTGCCACACAGTAAAATTGGATGATGCTCAGTTCACGTTTCAGGCAGGTTAAACTTAAACTCAGTTAATATTGTTGAGTTGGGAACTCAGTTAAAATTGAATCCCCAATCCGAATCGGCTACTTGTTGAGTTGGGAACGTTCACCTAAGGGTTGCAGATGCTGACTTGACTTTGACCATGAGAGTCCTTCTGAACCTGACACATAACTGGCAATATGTACCAAGCAAACACTGTGTCCCTTTGACAGCAAAGTGCTGAGCCATGTTGATCATGTTGACACATCTTGAGAACTCTTTCCATCCAGTTTGACCAATCCTTGAAGATCCACACACCTCCAGTCGAAAGAATCCTGCAACGTGAATGGGTTCAGGTCATCAAGTCCTCGAAATCCGAGAATCTCTCTACCCAGAACAAAGATAGTGTGATAGAACTGATAGAACTATATAAGTGAGTGGATAATCCTTTGACCTTCTTGAGGAATTGCTTTCCCCACTCAAACACTCAAACCTGATGGGTTTGAAACACGTTAATCTTGATGTTCCGTAAAAATCTCCGGTTGCCGGGGTCACTGGGAATTGGCTCAGAACAAGCTCAGTTGGATATTCTCCACCTCCAGCCCGAGCTGTGAGCTTGATCTCACTCCAAGGTTCTCGCATGAGCTCAAGGCGTGGGTTTCCGGTGTTTGATACTATACCTTTTTTTTTCGGGTGAACTTGATGGATTCTGTGGAGGGTAGGGAGACATGCACTCAAGTGCCAGGAACAGGTCAACCGGATCGGCTGGAACTAAGTGCACGGTTGGAGACAATGCTTTTTGACTCCATTAAAAGCCCAAGGAGAACGGGAGAAAAGCACAATTCTTGTTCCTAGTAGTAAGGCCAGGAGCCCCTAGTAGCTTCTTGTTCCTATAGTAGCGATGCCAGGAGCCCCTAGTAGCGTCTTTGCTCCTAGTAGCGATGCCCCGGGTCATCGAGGGGGTTTTGTTTCTCTTGTTCTTTTGTTGTTTGGGTCGACCCTCAGCGATTCCGCCACACCATGCATCGCTCCGGACCCCCCCCTCATCAGACTCGGAAGGAGGAGTCGGAAGCACTCCGAGCTGAAAAGCTGCGCTTGCAGGCGGAGAGCCCGAAGTGGTTCACGCGGCTCTCAAGAGCGGTGATTTTTTGCATCATATGGTGGATGCCTTTGATCAGTTCATTGCAGAACAAAACACAATAGTTACAGTATATGTTACAGTCACATGCGTCAGAAACTGGAATTGCGTCCTTGTGCATCAACCGAGTCCCTCAACTCCCAAACAACACTTTTGGCAGGGCAGCCTTGCTTTGGAACTCTGAGCCGATTTGATTCAAAGTCCAATCATATGATTCTACAGTATATGCCAAAAGTACACATTTAGTAGGAATCAGCTTTTCTGCAGCTTGTGCCTCGCATAGCTGCAGGTGGAGTACTACTTGAGTGATGAGAACCTGGCAAGCGACGCCTTTTTTCAGGCATGAGAAAAGCGGCAACACTACACCTAAGCAGCAGGGAGGACTACCTTGAGGGTATGATTGAGTTTGGTGTTTTGCACCCATTTGAAGGAGTAACAAGTGCATCGCTACTAGTTAACAAGTGCCTTACTACTATAGTAGCTTCATTGCACTTGCTACTAGTAACGATGCACTTGTTACTCCATTAAGGGCCACTCAAGCCTGCTTGATCGGATCAGATCACCGCCACACAGGCGCTCATCGACCGGCCACGGCTCAGGCGCTCATCCGCGGCTCGTCGGGTGGGTGGGTGCCCATCTCCACGCTCCTAGGCGCGGAGAGAGCGGAGCCAGCGGAGCGGAGAGGAACTTGTCCAGATTTGGGACGGGTTTTTCCAGGTGAACCACCATGGAGTCCATGGAGAACTTTGAGAAATGTTCAGAATGGACCTCTGGAATTAATTTGGAATTGGTGTTCTCAAATGTGCTGAGACCCAATCCAGTGGACAATACTGGTAGTAGGCACATGTATGCACCAGATTTTGGTTATGTATGTGTGTTTTCCCAAATTACATTTTTGGAATGCCTGGCAGAAGTGTCTGAAGTGTCTTACTGTATGTGTTTTGTTTGGGTCGAAATGGAGCATGCACCAAGTTCCCTTGAAGCAAACCTTTTAACCCTTGGATTGAGACCTGCTTGCATCTCTTTGCCAAATTCACACCACACTGTTACAGAAAGCTTAAAGTATATTTAATGTATATTATTAACGCTAGAGTAGTTTGATGTACTTTGTTTGCTTTATTTTGTATAGAGAATGTTCGGCCAGTGAAAGAAGGACCTGTGCAGATGTTCACGTTGACCCGTGCGGCCTACTAGTATTGTTGAAGGCAGAACACTTGATAAATCCATTTGAAGATATCAACCTGGTTAGGTGTTCTACCTTCGACAGCAGAACACACGTTTGGTGCGGCACTGCACTGTTGAAGGTATCCATCCATCGATAGACTTCCCTACCCCAGACTTCGCCTCTTCGGGGTGTCCTCTGCTTCACTTCCAGGCTGTCCTCGAATTCAACAGCTGCAGGGCACCGGCCCTGAGGCGCTCCGCGGCGCAGAGGGCAACGGAAGTGGAAGTGGTTGGTTTGAGGAACAGGCTCGAGAGTTCTGCCGAGAAGGCTCTCGATCCTGTGGCCAACTCAACTCGGCTTCATGGAGTTGAGGAAGCTTCGGGATTGATGGGTGAAAGAACTCCACGAGCGATTGATCTTTCTATGCGTCTCATTGCCAGTTGGTCGCTGCCTTGCGCTGGTCCACGCAGCTGCAACTGCGGGAGTGGCCCGTGGGGGCCGAGGCACAACGGGGGAGATGAGGAGGAGGTAACATAACGGGGGGGAGTTCCGAAAAGGAGAGCGGGACTCGGGACAGATGATTTGGACATGACAAGGGAGTTAGAGTTATAAACAAGAAGGAGCACTGGGGTTGGTTGTGGATCTTCGCGTGGCAGCTACAACCCAGGTATATAGCCTGGCAGCATTGAATGAGTTTGTGCTGGCTACAGTAGCAGCTATTTCCAAACTTATCCAGGAGTTGCAGAGGGTTGTCAATAGGCCAAGATGCTACGGCAACTCGGACGCTAGCCGGCTCCGGGGCTCCGAAGGGCATCGCAGAGCGAACGGAACAAGGGCTAGGTCCAAAGATGCCCCCCTTTGCCCGCCTTGATCGCGCGAACCTCCACAACAGGCTGTGCAATAGGCTACCCTACCTTAGGCTACCCAGCTGCTAGGCTCTGAGGACACATACTAATCATGGTTGTTTTTCCAAAGTACGAATCATGGTGGTCAGAACATGGAACCAAACATCCCCATCCCAAGTGCCCATGGGATCGGTGATCGGTGATCGCTCTCGGAATCGACATGCATGAAGATCCCGGAGATGGGAGAGGGTCGACATCAGTGCCCCCGATTGAGACGTAGTCACTGGCTGGTCGTTTCGCACGAACAACACTCACAACAAGACCTGACGGAAGACTACCTCTTTCCCTTCAACCTGTTTTTTCGACTACAGGAAGTGCGCCGGAAGAGCCCCTTGCCGGAGCTTCAGGTGTCCGAGCTGGGACGTCGGCAGCCATGGGGGCACGGATGTTTTCGGAGTGCTGCGTCCTGTCCTGTCCCCATGTTTGGGTGCGGTTCCTGCTCCAATGGGTTTTTGGGAGACTGTTCGCAGAAGGTGCTCGGTGCCACGCTTCTGGAAGAAATCAGATCACCAAAGCAGTGAGATGTGGCTGTGGGAATCCAAGATGAATCCAATATATTCAACGTTTTGTTTTTGAGGCCACCTTGATCAGTTAGATGTATGCAATGTACCGAGCACACCGACAGAGTCTCCCGAGCCACGAAGGCCCGTCCAACGGCCAGGTGCCTCGAGCACCAGAGCCACTGAAGGAGGACACCTTGGACGAGCGGCCGACGGGTCGCATCGGACGGGTCGAACCGCCAGTATCGCTCCGAGGACAACAGGGCGTGACCTCCAGTGTCGCAAATAGAATAGGGGGTGTTAACGGTTTCTGTAATGCATTCTATAGAAAGAAAACAAATAGCAGCAATGCTCCTATCACTATAGTAGTCAATGTTTTTGGTACCTCTAAACAGGAAGAGTTGACAGTGGTGTACTGGTGTACCGTTGTTGTGCCACACGGTGTGCAAGGCTTTGCAAAGTGGTGTTTCTCCAAGATTCTGGCACACTATGAACGAAATGCAAGTAATTCGACACGCTATGGGTATCGATCGGGATGATATCCGATATGTATGATTCACATGTTCTCCATAGGTTCCGCAGTTCTGCAGGAGAACTGGTCCATCGCCAAAGCCTGTCAATTCCTAAGGGGTCCCCCCAAAGCCAAAATTGTTTTGTAATGTGTTGTATTGTAAATGTTTCCCATTGTCCTGCCTTGCATTAATTTATTCATTGGCACTTTTGAGGCGTATGTATCACAAGATAAATCTTGATAAATACTTTGTTTTCTGCCATGACATAGAGGGAACTTTGGCGATGAGATTCTGACACAACCGGAGTTCGGATGAGTTCTGAGTAGGTCTACCCTGCGAATGGATTTGGATCATTTGGGCACCGCACCATTGCTATTGAACTCAACTCTTCTATAGCTCCAATAATAAACATCGCTGGGGAACCCTTGGACCGACGCCCAAGAAGCGGCGACGACGAAAGACAAGGGGTCCTTTCAAGGGCCCTGCCTGCCCTTTGGCCGAGCTGAGGCCCCTGCCACTCCTGCGAGACTGCAGCGATGGCTGGGAGGAGCGGAGTTCGGCAAAGTGGCGTGAAGACGACGTGAGGAGTTCGGAGTTCTGTGAACTCAACATGTTTGTAGGGAACGGACGCACTCTGGGGGGTCCCCAGCAACATGTTGTAGAATATGTTTCTTTGCCAAACCAGTCAAGGCGGTATGATATGTATGTTTGGAGAGAGAGAGAGAGAGAAACAAACATAAAGAAAGAAAGACAGAGCATCTATTATCGTGATGGCACAGTGG